ACATTTTTTATGAAATACAATTAGAGAAAAATGTTTGATTGTGCCATTGTATTTATAAGATTGGGAGTTTTCTTGCACAATGGTAAAAATTGGTGGTTTGAGATAGAAAATTGAAGAATTGATCGTGTTACTGCATATTCGTGATAAACGCTTATCAAATAAATCCCGAATTATTTTTGAAACCTGGTAGATTATCAATGCCTATCTTGCAATTTTTGATCTTTTCAGGGAGATCATTGTGTAGAAATTGTAAAATAAAATTTAATTATCATTTCTAGGAGAGAAAAAATTATGAAGAAAAGGAAGATATCGACTTTTCCGGTAGACATGTCTGAGGATTTGAAAATGTAAGGAATGTTATTGAAAAACTTCAAATATAGAGTCGTTATTTTACACCCAGATGGACTAAAGAGAGTATGATTGATATGCAGGGAAACAAAAAAGATTAAAAAATATTTGGAAGAGAGTAAGATAATCGTTAATGAGCTACGAGATAAATCAACTCATACTTTTCTTGTAGCTCATCAATGATTATCTTACTCTCTTTCAAATATTTTTTTAATCTTTTTTATTTATCTGCATATCAATCATAGTCTCTTTAGTCCAACTGAGTATAAAATAATGCTTCTACATTTGAAGTTCTCGTCAATATTGCTTACCTTTTCAAATCCTCAGACATATCTTTAGGAGAAGTCAATCTCTTCTTTTTCTGCACGATTTTTTCTCTCCTAGAAATGAAAAGTAAGTTTTACAATTTCTATACAATGATCTCCAAAAAAGATAAAAAAAATTGCAAGTTAGGTATTGATAATCTATCTGATTTCAAAAACAATTCAGGATTTGTTTGATAAGCTTTTATCACGAACATGCAGTGACACAGTCAACTCTTCAATTTTCTATCCCAAACAACCAATTTTTATTATTGTGCAAGAAAACTCTCAAACTTTTCAATATAATGACACAATAAATCTTTTTTCTGTAGTTATATTTCATAAAAAATATCTTTAATTTCCATAATCTTCTTCTCCAATAGTTTTTTCTTTCTGTACTTACTTCCTCCTCTTCAATTATACATCGAAAAATTCAATTAGAACTAGACATGCAAAATTTTATATACAAATTAATGTGTTAATTTAGTACCATGATATCTTACTTCCTTTTGCAAGTCATTTCATCGTATTGTTTGCTCAATTCTTTTATTT